TTTTTTTTTTGATTACTGGAATAAATAGTATGTTTCCTCACCATGGAAATATAACTGCTGTGGTGGAAACCTGCCATCTAATTCCTGGATTTTATGCTCAAGTACACCGTTTCCAATTAAAAAAAAAAAATCTTGAATACTCAAGCAGTACCAAGTGGGGAAATATTCTTGCAAATGTTATGCTATATGATTATTTGCTTAAAGCAAAGTTTATTGCATAATAACCAGAAAAAAAACACCTTTTGACAGTTATCTAGGTAATTTTCTTTCAATCATTTCAATTGAATCTCACTTTAGGAATGCATTTACTAAGGTTATTCAACGCAAATCTCTCCAAGGTTATCTTCCTAAAGGGCTTACACAGGGTCAAAGATGCATAGACTGATGCTTGGCTGGGTATCAACACCTCTGTGACTTGACAAGATAGGGTCTACCTCTACACCAGGTGCAACCTGCCTTGGGCACGCTTGTGAAGAGGTCAGGTTTATTTCTATTGCTCACAGCCTCTATCTTCTATAAACAATTCCTTTGATGGCAATTCTGCATCCAAGAACTTTATATTCATTCCTTGGCCTTTTATCAAAAGCTGTATTCAGGAAAGGAGAGAGCATTTTACCTTGTAGGTTTACCACTAAGTTGCAAAAGATTGCCAGCTTCTATGTATATTTCCATTTCAATTAAAGTCTTGAATTACTGTAGTAGTTCTCAGTGGTTCCTAGAGCAGCAAGGTCACTTAGGAACTTGTTAGAAATGAAAATTCTCATTCCCACTGCAGATCTACTGAATCATAAACCTGGGGAGTGGAACCACAAATTATACACACTGAAGTTTAAGAAATCCCTTCTGATAAGAGTAGTTTATCCAGAGATCTAACTATGGAGTTTCAGGCATCAGCTGGCCTAAAGACTTTAGGATAAAGTTACCTTTTATACCTCCTAAATCAAATGCCCTCTATTACTACTTATGAGTGTGTGTGTGTGTGTGTGTGTGTGTCTGGCATACTTTATAAAATGATTCCACCTACAAAGACAGAAATAATAGACTCTTCATGAGTAAAAGAAGACAGGGATGGTTTCTCCCATAAACAACAGTCCTCTATAAATTACTCAGGTCCAATTTTCAATCTTAAATTTGAAGATTGGGACTTCTTGGTTCACTAAGACTGTAAGTAAGCAAAAAGTTAGTAATGAAAGCAGAAATCACATCTAAAACTCGAAGGGTATTTTACCTGGGGGACAACACAGTTACTGTTCCTAAAGAAGATACAGATAAAGGTGGAGATGAATAACATTTTCATCAGACACACCCTGGTGGTTACTCACGTTTAATTTTGTTGTGATCCAGGTGAAGGTGTTGCAGGTGGGCATTGATGCGGGGAAACTTTGTGAGTTGATTATGAGACAATTGAAGATCTAGAATGGATGACACATCAAACCCACTGGATGGGAGCCCTGAATCTGATAATTTGTTATGGTTGAGCCTCAGGAAGGCCACTTTAGGAATTACATTAAAATAATTTTCTGGTATTCCTTCAATGGAATTGTTGTCCAGGAACAGTTGCATTGTGTTGGCTGGTAATCTTGGTGGCATGTTCCTCAGAGCATTCTTGGCCATATTTAGCTGCATGAGGTTCTTGAGACCCTTGAAGGTATCTCTTTGAAAGGCGTTGTCTAATAGTTTATTGTGCTGCAGATCCAGAAGGGTTAGATTTTCTAGATTGCTAAAGGTCCCTTGAGGAATTCTGGACACTTTGTTTCTAGCTAACTGTAACTGTTCTAAACTTCTTGGCAATGGAGAAGGTACTTCTTCTAGCTCATTGTCTTCAAGAAATAAGAAAAGCAGCTTCTTCAGCTGACTTAGGGCTCCTTTTTCAATTCCATAGTTGGTTATTTTGTTCTTATTTAAATTTATCCATCTCAACTGGGTGGCATTCTCGAACGGCTTCTCAGGAATGGTTTCTATCTGGTTGTTCTCAAGGTACAGATACCAGATCCGTGAAGGAATAGCAGGGATTTCTTTGAGACCTCGATTTTCACAATATAAAGCAGTAGGGAAACTTGGGGGACAGAAGCATTCCCTGGGACAATCGAAGTCTTCAATCATCCAATCCCCTGGCTCATGTACCTCATAGACCTGTCTCACATTCTGAGTCCACACCGTGTCTGTTACGAACAACACCCAGATGATGAAACTGATTGTGCTTGCCATAATAGTACCTAGAGCAATCAGACACACAGCTATTAGATCAACCAGGACCTTGACCTTTAGGTATTGGCATCAAAATGATCAGTAAACATTGTTTCTTCAGAGATGAGTTGAAGATATCATTTCCATAGATATTGATTAAAAGACACACATTTATTTAGTAGGCACCATATAGAGCATTTTGCAAATTTCAAAATTAATTTGCCAACTCATAAACTTCTGGTTTTAACCCAACTAATGAAAGCGGAGAAATGGAAAGCAAATTCTAGCAGCTCTAAGTGCTTTTCCATTTCTAGCTATGTAATAATTCAAGGAACTTAACTGAAACCAGTAGTTGAATATAAGAGTACCAAAAAAGTGATCTTTTAATAGTTCAAGTTAAAGTCTGTATCATTCCTAAGATGGAGTCATATGATTTTGCTTCTACTTTGACTCCTAAATGAGAAGAACATCTGGAGGAGATTTCCCAGGTTCTTTGGCACTTGATCCAAAGAAATGAAGAGATCAAAGAATATTTTAGTAGTTTATTGTGAAGGAAAGTTCTACGATCTGAAGAAAAGTGTGTGTTTTTTCTCTTGTTCTGCTGCTGAGCTACTCAGGTAAGTTTTATTTGGTGGGAAGAAGACTTCAAAAATTATAAGTAAACAACCAGGTTGTCCAGCTCAGAAACTGAGTTATAATCTATCTCTTATATAATCACTCTGTCATATATATGCCTCACACAATCTCTCAGATAATCTCTTTTGTTGTGCAGATATACATACAAACATACATGTATGTGACAAAGAGCATTTATTACAGAGTCAGATATATTACTCATATGATTAGAGCTTGATTATAAAGACAACAAAACAAATATATTCAAGATGTGAATATATTTGTGATAATTCTTTTAAATTCATATATTCACAATGGATAATAACAATAAATAGATAAATACTTACTGATATGTGAAATATTTAAAAGATATAAACTCTTCCTACCAAATATCATCAGAGATCATTGTTCCAAATTCTATCTTAACAGCAAAAAACATATAGGCATAATGTGTATTTTAAACATTTATTTATAACATATACATGTTACATAATACATAGAAAAGGATATACTCATCAGTGTACATTTACTTAAGTCAAGTGATAATAAGGATAGAAGAAATTTTACTGTTTCCTGGAAAACCATAAAATCAGTCATTAATGAAAAGCTGATCTTTCAATTTTGCCATTAAATTGCAGAAAATCACAAGTGCAGATCTGCTTCTACAAGCTGTCAAATCTACAATTGCAGAAGGCTGCTCTGGCCATCTTCCAACAGAGACACGTTAAAATTTTTTCAGAATAGGGATTTGCTTCAGTTATTGAAGTTGTAACCCTACATCTGATGAATCAGAACACTGAAGTCTTAGCTTTATGAGTTTTAAAAAGTGCAAAAGAGTTTACCTTGCCTTCCAGGAATATACCGTTGAGTCCTGGGTCTGAGTCTGCAGTTTGCTAAAAGTCAGTTGAAGAAAAAAAATTAACTAGAAAATTGTTTTTTCTTTATGCTGTCAAACCTCCTTTGAGAAAAAGTAAAACCTACACTGAGCAGTCACCATGAACACCTTTTGATGTATTGTTTTCACTTTGACAGGGCGTCAGAGATGGCTTACCTCAGCCTCCTTGGATCTTCTTCTTCCTTTTCTATTGGTCACTGCTTGTTCACAGAAATGGATTGACCCAGGCTCCACTGCTGTGTTTTTCTGAATCCTCTGAAATATATATGCACCAGTGGCTCCAACTTAACCCCTCCAACAGCCACTCCACCTCTATACCTAGCCAACCCAGCAAATGAAATTCTTACTTTAATTTCAAGAACTTATAACAAAAACTCAGGAAGATTTTCACTCCTAATTCACAGTTCCAAAGATTTTGTAATGCACTGGTATCTAGACCTAATCTAGCAGTAGGAAACTGAAGGCAGTTTTAATTTCAACTCTAACAAATAGAGATTTTTAAAATCATTGTTTTTCTCTAGATGATCTTTTTAAAAAACAACCAAGAAATAAAAGCCAATGCCCTCTGTTGATGTGGACATATTTTATTTGTTTTTGATATAAAACAGATGCTACAATGTATTTGATTAAGGAAAAAAGAAATAGAAAAATATATTTGAAGAATTTAAAAATGCTATCCAGAAAGCTATAGCTAATTTTGGCACTAACCACCATCCTACTCTTTGCTTTATAGAAATACTTTTTGTATCTCTGTTTCCCATACTTTCAATAATTTATTTAAGGAAATTATTAAAATAGGATGATTCTTACTTATTATAATAGAGCACATATTTTTATTTAATGCCTTATAAGACATTCTGTTACACTGCCTTTTTTTCTTTAGCACAAGTCTAAGCTAAAGTTTCTTCCATTTTCTTATATTTGAGATAAATATTGTATGTCTCAAGGAAAGATGCAAGCAATGTCTCTTTTTCATACAGCATTCTGAGGATTGATTGTAATCATCTTGTTTTCCAAAATATAATCTTATTCTGAGATCAGCGTGTTTCATTTACATTACTCATTCAACACTGTTCACATAAGTATTATCAAAGACAGAGCACAGGAAAGAAGAGAGAGACTGGATTGAAAGGAACCTTTCTGGGCCACCTCTTTCTTTATTGCTAAGTATAGAGTAGAGCACAGTTTTGTCCTCTGTACAATAATAATGGGCTACTTCACAGGGTTAACCCTAGTTTGTAATAAATGATGAGGGAAATGTTAATCTCTCTTGGTATCAGCCCTATACTCCCAAGTGAAAATGCGTTTATGTTAAAGGGCTTTTTATTGACTAAGATCTGCTCCAGACATCTCACATTATATTTTAAGAAAACAACCATTACTTACTTTCTCATAACAGTTTCCTTATTTTTCCACTGAATTTCTTCTTCATTTTCTCCCTCTCCTTTTTTCTAACCCCTCAAGATGTAAATAACAGAGGATCTTCAGATCTGCACAACTCCTTCCAGCTACTCTATTATCTCTTAATTTTCTTTTTCAGCCAAACATATATCAGTCACTTCTTAATTTTATTACATAAATGTTGGTATGTGTTCACTGTAGAAAATCAGAGTAGTATACTTGCTACTCCAACCTATTTCCCATTCACCAATTCACTCATGATACACTCATCAAATATGGCTTCTAATTCTATTGCTTCTTTAAAACTGCTCTGACCATCAATGATCACCATATACACTAGTCCGCAGAAGTCTTTTAGCGTTTCGCTTAGTTGACCTATGACCATCGTTAATACTGACCCACCTCTTACTGATGTTCCTGTAAGCTTTTCTGACATCATTCTCTCTAACTTCTCCCTTTGCCCCCCAAGATTTTTCCCTGTTTATATCTCAAAAATTCGGTTTCCTTTTTCTAGCAGTTTTAAAAAGAGCTATTTTCTTGAATTCAGATCTCTTTGAGATGTTGTCCTCTATCCTGGGTTCTTCCTTCCCTCTCCACACTTTGTGAATGACTCTGATTTTAACCATCCCCTTCATTACGATGTATCCTGAATCCACTTTTCCAACTCAGCCTCAGAACAAGACCTGTACACCAACGTTTGTTTGTGTTCGCCTTCTGAATATCTCCTGTTGCATGTCTCAAGGGTATATGTGTGAAATGAAACTCACATTACTGTCTCCCATTACTTCTAACTGCTTTTGTCATCTTACACTTTTGAGTGACACTATCATCACATTTAGTCTCCCATATTTGAAATCTGGAAATCATTCTTGACTATTTCCTCTCATTTTGTGCTCATATGATAACAATTACATTTTAAAGACCCAAGGAGACATGGTATAAATAAAAATGACTATCTGCAATGCTAACCAGGTTTGGATATCATTATTTCCAGACTAGAAACATAGAATTTTTTCCACTGTTAGAATAATTTCTAGTTGCATCTTGATTTTCCATATAACGATCCTATTTTCTTCCTTTGATTATTGATTCTTGGAGTATGGGGACTTCAACACTTCTCCGATTTAGTGTAAGTGGAAGTCAAATTAATTAAACTGAGAAGATGGTAGGAATATCTGGGTCATGATAATTTTAGTAAGAGTTAATAAAAGATTCTGTCCAGCTTTATCTGATTCTTCAAAGGGGAAAAAAAGAGGCCTACAGTATAATCATGTGGCTTTGGTAGTGTTTCTGGTGGCAGATTTTTTTTTTAGAAGTCTATGGAGCTTTATTGATAGTAGTTATTTAATAAATGCTTGCTGGATGAGTAAATAAGCAAATCAATACATGAGGCACACATTTCAATTTGGTATTTATGTTTTTTATGAAAGTAACTGTGTATGTAAGAACATGGTAGAGAGCCTTAGGTTTTTACTTTAAAAAAAATCAGAGTTTTCTGTCTGCATCTAGTTTGTTATTTGGCCTTGTGTATGTCATTTAACCAGTAAGAACCTATATCTACCCATAATACACCTGCCCTACGTGCTCAGCTGGGTCATTAGATCAAATGAGATAATGAGGGTAAACATGTTTCAGAAGTATAAAATATTTTCACAGTAAAAGATGTTAAAATGCAAGGAGAATTTTCGAATCTCAGCAGAAAGGCTGAGGTTAACATTTCTGTGTCCCTGCAAGAAGCCCTGGCAGAAACTCAAAAGAGACAGTAAAAGGTGTGTTGTCATTGTTCAACCTTTTTTCCTCCTTTTAACATCTTTAATATTTTGTGTTTGCTGCACCTAATGCTATTAAAAGGGAAGATGCTTTGCTAAACTATCTTAGACTGAGGAATTTAGTTTGTTACATTCCTGAAGATCATTGACCTTTTAAAAGGGAAGGCAACGGATGATGGCCACGAAATTCTAGTTGGATGTCAAATTTCTTGGCATATGTATCACACACAGATGTTAGGCCATGGTAGGTTGGAGTACTTAGGTGCTTCCAGGATCTTTGTTTATCAAACATTAATTGAACTGTTGTCAAGGTAAATGATTTTCTCTTTCCTAATTAATTTTCAATTTGACTAAGCTGTGTCAAATTATTAAAAAATATATAAAAGGGATCCACTAAAATCCAAAGCTTACACACATACATAATTTAAAATTCTGTCAAAATAATACATTTAAAATATTATAGGAATATATTCAAAAAATCAAAATCATCACAAATCTGTTTTTGAAAATAGGAGTAACCTATTGTGTAAAAGGGCTGAGGATGTAGTTCAGCAGTGGGATACTTGTTTAGCACATGCAAGCCCCTGGATTCAATCTATTTTGAAAAAAAATGTTTCCATTCAGTGAGTAGAGACAACGTTGTGTAGTGTCTAAAAGCCAGATTTTCTTGGGTAGGGCTTGAATAAATCTCTGCTATTTACTAGCAGTGATACTTTGGACAATTCTCTTTGCCTCCTCATGAGTAAACTAAGGGAAATAATTATGATGGTGATGATCATAGTATTAATAAAAATACTCATCGCATAGTGTTGTTGTGAAAAAATGAATACATTTGTATATTAAAACATCTAAAGTGTTTTAAAAGTGTTGATAAATAAAATCAGATGTATTAGGTTCACTTTTTTCTCCTGGTGGATTTTTCCCTCTGGCATGCCATGTCCTACTTTAATACAGTTTACTTCTTTTTAAAAATCAACCTTTGCTCATTTGACAGATTGCAATGCTTAGGTTATGAGACATATTAGTTGGCTTGGGGTTAAGAGGGCTATAGGAATCCTCCCTTTTAAACTATGAGGTGTTATGTATGATGAAAGAAAGGGCATTTCCACTGTATCTCACATAGCAAATATTTTTTTGAAGCAGGAATTAACACCATCATGTAGTGTGTCTTCAATACAATGATTCTTCAAATGCTAACTAAGCATATCTATGATGCTTAGTTAAAAATCACACTGTCTGTTGAAACAGTGTTTTCAGTGTGTGTGTAGCAAATACAACCTTACTTCCTGAGCCTCTGAGCATATTATAGTCCTGGGTTCCCTTTACCCATCTGCTGGTCTACAATTCTGTTACTTCCTCCATTTTTATCCCACCCTTTCTTAGTGAGCCCCATAGTGTTGGTAGAGCACATACACTGACCACTTCGTGTTACCCTGGATATTTTCTTTAATTTATTTATTTTGTGGTACTGGGGATTGAATCCAGATCCTTGCACATGCTAACCAAGTACCCCACTGCTGAACTACATCCTCAGCCCTTTTTTATTCTATTTTGAGACAGGGTCTCACTAAATTACCCATGCTGACCTTGAACTCATGATCCCCCACCTTTTGCCTTAGGCCTACCACATATGGCCAGGTTTGGAATACTTTCTATTAGTATTTCTTTTATTTGAGAACTAAACATGTGTTTTTACGGCACACAACTGATATTTAACTATATAAAATTCTATGGTGAATTACTTTCCTCAAAATGTTGAAGACATTCAGAGAAGTTATTGTCTTGTAATTTCTGTAGTTGCAATTAAAATGTTCAACAAAATTACATTTTTAAAAAAATCTTCAGAATATGTTCTTTTTCCCTCTCTATAAACTTTTAGGATTGTCTTTTCCTTCTGTTTGTGGAATTTTATAACAGGATTCAACACATATGTCTTCTTAGTACACTTTTCATAGTTATGAATTTTTATTAATGCTAATATGAATTTCTTCCTTCATTATGAATAACAAATCTTCTTTGCATAGCTTACTTACCCTTTCTGTCTAAAGCAACCCGAGGCTCTCCTGATTCTTAAAACTACTATAAACTCTTGTCACTTCTAAGCTACTTTATTTTGATTCACTTTTAACATTTCTGACTCCATTGGGTGCCCATTGTTCCAGGATTCTATAGGGAAGAATTCATCACTGAATTAAAATTACAAATAAAAATAGCCTTGTAATTCTTGAGTGAGCTCTGTTATGAACTTC